CCCCCCCCCCCCCCCCCGCCCCACCTCTTTTTCTCTCTCGATTCTCTGGCTCGCACGTTCAATATTGATTGACAGGCGTCGCGCGCAGGCTATTCACAGAAACGTACAAATAGCCTCATTATGAAACTAGGTTAATCACGCCGAAGAAAGGAAAATCGTGCCAAATAAAATGGAGGACGAGGGAATTCCTCATTTGTGCTGCTGACAGTTGGCATTTTGTCTCGAACAAGTCTAGAGCAATCACTTCAACATGGAGCGCAAGGAGGTATCTCTTTGTTACAGCCTGTTGTGTTAGATCGATATAAAAATTTAATTTTCTATTAATGATCATATTATTATTGAATGGAGTGCATTTTGAGGCTATACACAATTTGAACATTATACTAACTTCGATTGACGAAGCCGTCTCTTCTTCAACATACAGTGAAAAGCGAAGCCAAATGCAAGTACATGTAGCATTGATTAAGCCTTGATATAATAGGAACAATAATAGCAGCACATATGAAACATCATGACTTGCTCGTACATACAATGTATAAAACCAAGAAGGTGGATAGTAAAACGCACTTACAGTACACACAGGAAAATTCTCGAGGGCCAGAAACCCCATTGCCTTTGATTGTATAATTGATTTACTATAATTCCATATTCACTTTATTTCCCTTTAGTGTGATATAAAATATATAATGTAGATATATTCCTGGATATATATATTATGACATACCAACCAAAGCAATACAATTGCTAAGGTAAACTTATATATATATTTACACCTGTGCAGGTGTTTTCTGTTGATTTTATTTATAGCTGCTGATCGAAATTCCACGCCAGTTAGAGTGCAGCTTTCTTGTACCCTGGTTTCCACGGGTCAGTGGGAACTCACGGCATGTTCTGTTGTCTCCAGTCTGTGACAAAAGTTGTGCACAGGGAGGGTTATTCGATCTTTAAAAAATATTCCAGTCCATTTCTCCTACTGGCCCAGAGTATCACAGAATACGTAAACTGCACAGCAGAGTCTTGCTGATAATGCATAGAGAAGTTGGATCTTAAGGGCATCTGATATACAGGGTGTTATCTTGTGACCTCATAAGGTCTTTGTTAGTCCACATGATCTTGTGATTTAGCTTTTTAGGTGACTAATCTTGAACTGACTTCAAGTTGCCTTTTGTGAAATTTGATTGTTGTAATCAAATCTAAGCTGGATAATATTGACTTAAACAAACATTTGGATATATTATCATTATATTTAATTATAGTGAAAGACAAGAGATTTTTTTCATATTGTCTTATAGTAGTACTTCATGAAATCAGAATACTAGTAAGTGCATTTGCCAAATGCTTACTGCCAGACTGCCTGTACTTGCAACACTAAGATATTTCTTTACAAAGGCTTAAATTTTACATAACAATGTTTTAATGTGATATCTTTACTAAGTAAGTATATCAAGACCACGATCGAACGACTGTTTTTGAAATCACTTTGGCTTATATATATATAGTCTTTTTATCTTGAGAATGGCTGGCTACAAGTAACCCTGGGGCCTGTTTCTACAAAAAAGGTGTTACTTTTTCACAAAATGCTTTCTCGACTCTAGGTTTTGTCCCCCCCTCCCAAATGAACAACAATGCTATACTAGTATATAAAGCAAGCAAAAGGAGAATAAACTAAGCAATTTTGACAGTTTTCTACTTGCCTTAATTTTATTTTCTCATCTCACCATCATCTGATTTATTTTCACAAATACCTTACACAGTGTTGCTAAATTAATCGGGCATTCAGAGAACAAGTTGATCTGGGGACTAACAGATCCGTGGATCAAATATGGCTGACCCACATAAAAGCAATGCTGATTAATCTGGTGATGGTCTCCCCACCTCCATACACACCATTACTAGTAAACGGATTAAATCCCGACTTCAAGGTTTAATTGCTTGGCTCCTGCAGGGACAGCGCATGTGGAGGTGCTCAACTTAGGGACCATTCCCACATATATTTGGATTGATTTATCTCCCTGGGGAGTCTCACTAAATTGCTATCAGCTTAAGAGGCTTAATTGTCTGTCAAGTCTAGTAAAGCTGTTAGGGGGAATTATCTTTACCCCCTAGCTGATTCGGTAGGCATGACAGACATTTAAGCTGGTTAAGTTGATAGCAATTTAGTGAGACTCCCCAGGGAGTTAGATCGATCCAGATGGATCGATCTAGGCATGGGAACGGTTCAACCCAGTCTTAGACCCCATTTCCAGAGATTAGATCGACCTAACTCCCTGGGGGTTCACGCTAAATAGCTGTCAGCCAGGCGGACACGAAAGTTAATTACCCCCTTACTGCTTGTAGTAGGCCGGATGGACATTTAAGTCCGATCATCTGAAAGTAATCCAGTGAGACTCCCCGCGGGGATAGATCGATCTAAAATCTATGGGAATGGTCCCTAAGTCTGCACATTAACTTGTTCTGAATGCCCTCATGTTTTACCCTTGTGCCCCCCTTTAACAAAATCCAGGGACCACCTGGGCCTATAGAATGGGAGAGACTAGAATCTTTCTGAAAGTCAACCCCGTCAGTTTACATATTTAAATGTGCACTGTGAGGTGGAAAGAGACGAGGGGAGGGTGTGTGTGTGTGTTGTACCTGTGTGAGACTACATCAGGTAATGTTAAAAATATAAAAATTTAATCTGAAAAAAA